GAAGAGAATATTTTCAGAGAGGTCTACGCCACTATTTATAAGTCAGCAACATTAATGTGTCTTCAATTTCTGCAATAATTTACCAATTGACCCAATCAACTATGGTGTCGTTGAAGGTTGTCCAAAAAACTATAAGTACATGCTAAAAAAATTAATTTACTTTTTTTTTGATAAATTTTTATCTTTTGAATTACTGAATTCATTTAAATAATTATTATTTACAATTTTCTGGTTAAATAGGAGTATTGATAGAAGAATAATAATATTATGGAGTTAACAGGAGAAAAGGGTTTTACAATTAGAGCCATAACTGATGAACGGGTGAGATTGGTAACTTTGGGGATTTGCATCAAAACTCACGTGCATGGCATCCACCCAATACAGTGTCATGAACCATGCAACATCGCCTTGGGATCCAGTGACTGAAGATCCCATTCCCCATCCCCATGTCCCCTAAAGCGGTGTTCACTTAGAGTGCAGGTTAGGGAATTTACGCGTGCCTGGTCTAGAATGCACCGGGGAAGATGGTGGAGACAACACTGTTTGGCGAGGGTTCCTTTCCCGATGAAAGAAAAAAAAAAAAAGACTTTTAGTTAATGAAAGAGAAAAAGGATTGTTATTTTATTGCCACCCCTACGCGTGAAAGTTGGGACCCGCTCTTGGAGTCAGAGGAGAGATAACGGCGTTATCAGGGGACGTTATAAAGATAAATGGTTAATGGGAAGAGCTTGACTCCGTGAATGACGGGGAGCTTGGATTGCGGGAACTGGAGTGCTTATAGACAGAGTGGAGTCCAATTCGCTTAACGGCTATTTGGTGATGACCTGGCAGAGACAGCATGTCACGTCAGCTGTCAAGCACAACTAGCAACTTGCCCTTCTTAAAATACTTCAATTAGCTGCAAAGACCAAGAAAATATAAACAATTAACCTTGTAATGGCAAAAATAATTGCATAACACTCTTACTTATTTAAGAAGTATCATAATGTTAATAAAAATAATTAAATTAAGAGTTACATATAAATTTTCAATTCCTAAAAAAGTGTATTTAAAACAATATATTAAATTATATGTCATTATTATTTCTTTTAAAAAATTAATTGATATTTAAATAGCATGCTTTAAATACATATAACAATATTTTGTACTATTGTATAGTATTAGTTTCGATCATATTTGTAATAAAATAATCATCAATATTTATAGTCTGAAATATATATAAAAATGTTTTTTAATTATTGTATTATTTTTGTATTCTCATTTATTAATAAGTTATTTACTTTTTATTTATATAAACAGATACACTTATTTATTTAATATAAGTGATCTTAATTAATATTATTAATGTTTCTAAAATATGATATAAATTTATAATATATAATTAAATTCTTTTGTCTTAGTAACCTAATGGTTGATTTCATATAAATAAAACTGAAAGATAATAAAATTTTAATTAGTAAAATTATGTAATTTTACTTTAATAATGTTATGTTTAACATTAAAGTCAAGACACGGTACTGATATAAAATTTTAATTATAATTAAAAATAACATTAAGAGCATTAATGGTACAATACCTAATTTTTATCTATTTTTCAATTAAAAATCATACAATGTCATAAAATGTAATGCATTAATAATATCAAAGTGAATGTTCACTGTACATTTTTTATAACATACTTTTTAAGTACACTTTTGTGCATTTGGTTATTTTTAAATAAGTTAGAGTAATTTAAAAAATAAATAATACCAAACATATATTTTTTATTTTTTAAATATTTGATCAATAACACAAAGTGTATTATTAATTTATTTAATAACATCAAATGGTCAAAATGTTTAATAAAAAAGGCTTTATTAACCTTACAATTTTTAATTAAATGTGTAAAAATAGTAACTTTTTATTTGAAAACAATACTCTCCTTCTTTTCAAGTTGTAATAATAATTTTTTAAACAAAATATTACTCTTTTAAGTTATTAATCTTAATTCTAAGAGCTAAACTTGTAATTTTTAATATAAATTATTATTTATTTTTTAATATCTATTCAAAAGCGTGATACACTAAACAGATAGATTGTTATATAATACATGCATGGTTTTTTTTTATGATTTTGAGATAAAAATATTTTATTTATTAATAAAAATATATTTTAAATTTGTAATATGTGTCATTGATTACCTATTAAAAATAATAAAGTAATTATTACTAAAAAATAATATTTTCAAAATTTAAAATTAATTTTAAGTAATTAATAATAATAAATTTTATTACAGATTATTATAACTTTACAATTTTAATATAATAAACATGTTCATATTTTTCTATAGTAAAAAAAGGTTTATTTTTAATAAAAAATATTTTTTTAATGCTTAAATCCCATCTAAATGTTAAAATAAAAAAATATTAATTTATTAATGCATATCTTTATATACATAAAAAAAATTGTTTTCTATTCGGTTCGTGCACCTAAATATAATAGGTGAATTAATACTAAATTTTTTTTACATACACAAATACTTGAACCTTTGAAACCTTACTTAAATGATATCAAGTTACTTGTTATTCGAACAAATTTTTGTTGGTAAAAAAATTTGTTTTAACAATATTATTAGCTAACATTTTTATAATGCCTCTAATAGTATTATATAAAATTTTTAAAAATAATATGATATAATGTATTAATAATTTTAAATTTTTTTATAATTTTTCATTCTTAAAAAAGAGCAATTAAACAATACCTTTATGCAATTTTTTTTTATTTCATGGCCCATTTATTACAAATTTAAAAAAACATTTGAAGAATATATAAAAGTAGATAGATGGTTTAAAAATAAGTTTTATTCATAATTTCTTTTCAGATGTCAATTTTTAAAAGATAAAATAAATACATCAAATGTTTAAAAAATAATTTTTAAAATAAAAGTAGTAGTTTTCTTTATAAAAAAAAATCAAGTAATGTAAAACTAAAAATTATAAGGGATTGAAATTGTTGGATGGACTTTAAGCTGAGGAAAATTCCAATTCCAATGAGATGTAAATAAATAAGGTGTTTTGATTGGGTGGCGCGTCAAATTTGCCGCAAAAGAAAATTGATTGTCACGTGCCGAACTCACTGGACCGCCGAATTTTCAAACGCTGCCCCACACATTTCTCATTCCTCATTCCTCCTTTTATTCATTATATTACATATTTGGAGCGTTCAACTTTAATGCCTCATTCACGCATTTGCCATTGGCATTTTTGTCTTTCCACATTCATTTGAACTATGCCACGCTCCCATTCATTTTTGATTGCCTCATCCACACTGCACTCGCCTCCCCCAATTCCCATTTTAACCTTCTCTAAAAACCTTATTGTGGTAAAAGGGCTTCTCCTTTTTAAGTGCCAGAAAAGTTTGTAGAATATGATTATTTTGGCTATAATCATTCGTACTTATTTGTGTAGACTATTGAGATCACTTTCAAGCTTTGCTGTGCTGTCTTCTACTTCATTTTTTTTCTTTTTGCTTTGTTATAATTATTATTATGATTTATGGGTTTTGGCACTTTATCCCTTTCCCCGACTCTTCAAAGTTTAAATTCCAAGCCCCTTTTTTTATTTTGTAATTTTAAAGCATCATAAATTACACTCATAGGTTATAATTATTTGTCTCTAATGGAAATTTATGAAGAGCCGTGGCACCCCTTAAAATATAAGTGTATCCTTGCTCACCCCCGGCTTTAATAAAAGATAAATTTTACATGTCATTTTTAAAAAAATATTATTAAAGCTGTAATTAATTAAAATTATATTTTTATTTAAATAAAATATCTATAGTTAATATTTTCATATATTATTGAAATAAAATTTATTTTTTGATTAAAAATTAACATTAATAATACTCAAAATAATTGCATATAGACTTGTCCTTTAATAAATTTATAAGAATAGTATCTTCCTTAATGTTTAAAAAATTAAAATTTAAAAGATAAGATGATGATTCTCACTAACATTTTACTTCAAATAGTAAATTTTAACCGTTAATATTTGAAATAGTCTTATTAACCGGTGTCTGTAAGACATTGATTAAAGAATTAGAATAATTTTTTTCAAAAGTCATGAGAAGATGTATATTTATTATATTTCAAAAATATATATTTTTAATTCTTTAACAAGTCCTTTTAGTCTACATTATATAATAAATACTGTTGTTATTTTTAGTCCTAAAAATTAATTATATATATATATATATATATATAAGAATAATTTTAAAAAAATATTGTTTTTTATATTTTTATATTTCAACAGAGTAAATTTTTTTATTAATAAAGATTATCATATACTTATTACAAATATTTTAAAAAATAAATTTAACATAATAAATGTTATTTATTCTTTAAATTGAATCAGTGTTACTAGACCATAAACTATTACTACTAATCTCTATAAAAAAAAAACTAATAATACCAACTTATATAGTTTGCACATTGAAATTTGTGACTGTGGAATCCTAAACCTTAAATATTAATTATCCTTTCTAATTTGTTCGAGTTATATTAATAGTTTTGATTTACTTTTACGTTTAATAAAAATAGAAGTAGAAGGAAAAAAATTAAAAAAAAATTTCTGTTTAAAAAATAAATCTTGGATGCAGATATTTTGCATAATGTAAACAGGATCAAGGAGATTAGCGTGGCTTTAGGTAGAAGGGGACACAGAGGATATGGTAGCACTAGAAACACAGCCGCGTGTTAAACCTTTGTCAACGAGTCTTTGTATTCATCCAAAAGAAAAAAAAAAGACCAACAAAGAGAAAGGATCGATGAATCATGCAGTTGATGTAGAACGTATTTCTCATTTTCCACATATATTAAATATATTTCTTAATTGCTAATGAATGAAAATAAAAAAGACTTGTCCACATTCAAACACAGCTCAACACACTCACTCCCATTAGTCTCACAATACAAATACGCTTCATTTGCCTGTCTCTTTCTCTATAACTTGCCCTTTTCGCCTCTCTCTATCGCTTCTAGCTGTAGAGTGATTCCAAACCTCTCTCTTTCCCTCATCGCCTTTTTCTTCCTTCCCCTTCTTTCTCCTTCTTTTTCATCACCCTTCCTTGCACCACTTCTTACATATCAACATATCTGAAGAAACCACTTTGGGGAAGGCACTATGGGAGGGTCTCACATGGGGTTCTTCTTGTTTTGCTCTCTGCTTTTTGTTTTGGCTTCTGCCTCATCCACAAACTTGCCCATCATACCCTTTGATGAAGGCTACACACCCTTATTTGGGGACAGTAACTTGGTCATCCACAGGGATGGAAAATCAGTTCATCTTTCACTGGATGAGAGAACAGGTTTTTTGTTTTTACTTTCATTTACGTTTAAAAATTTGTGTGGGGGTTCTGTGGAGATGGTGATTTTCTGGCTAAAGCCTTCACCTTTTTGGTCTTTCCATTTCTGGGTTGTCTTTGCAGGTTCCGGATTTGTGTCTCATGATCTTTACCTTCACGGGTATTTCAGTGCTTCGATTAAGTTGCCTGCTGATTACACTGCAGGAGTTGTGGTTGCCTTCTATGTGAGTTCTTGGCTCCCATAAGAGTGATTACTTGGTTTTTTTTTTTTTTTTTCAAATAGTACATGCGTTTATTTTGTCGTTTTAGTCAATATTTCTCCTTCACTCCAGTGGCTCAATCTCTATTGAGTTAATCGGGTGAATCCCTCCATGTGAACTCAGCTAGTTTTCAATGTCATTTAATTCATTTTCGTCCTCACCAATGGACAAGAAAATTTAGACTTTTTTAAACAATGTTAAAAAAAAAACTTGATGACTTGGCAAAAGTGCAATTGTTTGTTCTGTTTTTGGTTTAAACTTGTATCCGGAAAACGGGAAAAAGAATAATTTATTTCCTCATATTATCTGTCTGCAGATGTCAAATGGTGACATGTTCCGGAATAACCATGATGAAATCGACTTTGAGTTTTTGGGAAACATTAGAGGTAGAGACTGGAGGATTCAGACCAATGTTTATGGCAATGGTAGCACCAGCATTGGTAGAGAGGAAAGATACGGTCTCTGGTTTGATCCAGCAGAGGATTTCCATCAGTACAGTATTCTCTGGACAGATTCTCAGATCATGTAAGTGTCTCTCTGAACCCCCCCCCCCCCCCCTAGTCCTCTACATACCATATTTGGTTCTCTTTTGGATTTTATATAGTACTTGACAATATATCTACATCTTTTTATAATATAGCAAAATTTTTAATCATCATTCTTGCCACTGCATTTCATACTCCAGTCTAATGATCCCTTGTTGTAAACAGTAATTGATGTATTTTGTTGTTGGACTGGTATTTTTAATTCAAATATTCTTTTTAGTTTTCCTGTCCTGTTTTGTAATAAAAACATGATTTTTCCCTGAAATTGTATTAGTATTATATTTTATGCTTTATATCTGATGCGTTGGTTATTTACTGAGAATGAATTAAACAGACAATATGTTGAAATGTTGCATATATACCCTTTTACTTACCTCTTGAAATTATTTCGTGTACCTAAATTCATAATTTGTAATTTATATGGGGTTTTATTTAATTTCTTAGTTAGAGTGAATTAAATCAGACAATAATGTAATGTTACTAGTTATAATTACCTGTGGAGACTCGTTTGTCCCTTGTATGATATCTCTCTTGTTTTTCTTTTTCAATTATGTTAATTCCTACTTTTTATTGTCAGTTGTAGCTTGCTTGTTTACATAATTTTGTATTCTTGTTTATCCCTGTGCAGATTTTATGTAGATAATATTCCTATTAGAGAAGTTACTCGAACTGAATCAATGGGAGGAGATTTTCCTTCTAAGCCAATGACTTTGTATGCAACAATATGGGATGCATCTGATTGGGCTACCAACGGAGGCAAATACAGAGTGAATTACAAGTATGCACCCTATGTTGCTGAATTCTCAGACCTTGTTCTGCATGGCTGTGCAATTGATCCTATTGAAAATGTGGCCAAGTGTGACAATACTCAAAGTTCTGAAGCAATTCTTTCTGGTATTACACCAGTACAAAGAATCAAAATGGAGAACTTCAGGAAGAAGCACATGACATACTCCTACTGCTATGACAAAGTCAGATACAAAGTCCCTCCATCTGAATGTGTGATCAATTCCCGAGAAGCTGATAGACTAAGAAAGTTTGATCCTGTCACATTCGGTAGCGGCCGGCGGCACCATGGAAAACGACACCCTCACAACAGAGGAAGCCAGATGGAAGCTGCTTCATTTTAAGTTGGTTCCTTACAAAGATATATTTCATCCTTGATTTAGTTTGATTACCTGGGTTGATTTTTTTTCTTTCTCCTTTAATTTTGGTGTATAGAGAGAGGGGCATAGAATTCATGAATATGATAGTTTTGATATGGTTATTGCTGGTGGGGTATGTGTATAGTTCATACCTTTAGGTTCCCAGGTATTGTATTTTGTCATTCATGTCTCTTATGCTTTACAAATTAAATCTGTTGATTTCTGTATTTAGACCACACCTTTCGGGTTTCAATAATTTATTTAGCAGGAGTTATTTAAACAGTGTTTGGTATGAATTATTTCCTTTAACTGCTGATTGAATAATCATTTTATCACAGTTGTCCAGACACACACACACACCTGTCTGGTAGTTTATGTGGTCATATTTGTCAGTTAGACATCATAGTCAACTAATCAAATCTTAATTGGAATCCAAAGTCAGGTAGAAGATGATGCCTGTCTTCACTTTTTTCTTCCTGTGTTTTGTAAGGTTCTTCTGGTGGTGGGGGGGTATGATGAATTGGATTGGAAAAGTTGACTGGTAACTGAAATCTCTTAGGAAACGTCATTTATTGGATGTTTTGACTTTCGTTTTAAAGAAGAAAAAAAAAACTGTTTTTGATTGCTTTTAGTACAAGTGATCTTGCTTCTCACGCTCCTTTGCTTATCAATAATTGACGTGTCACAACACTAATTATTAATTTTGTTGAGTTTAATTTTTAAAAATCAGGCTTGATGTATTTTCACCATAGCCTTGAGTTATAATTTGAGTTGTCATGATCTGTTTACACTGTCTCGTTTGTTTTAAAATTTTATATATTTTTAAATAATTATGTTTTAGTAATATTATTTTAAGATTTAATCGATAATATTTTATGGAATATATATTATTTAGTTTAAAATATACATGATAAAGTATACTTTAATTTTAATTTCATACTTGATAATTTTATGATTTAGCTATTATATTTAGTAAGATTGATATATTTATTTGGTCCTGTTACAAAAATAACTAATATTTTTTTTAAATATAAGAAATAAAGATTTATTTTGAGATTTATTAATTACTATTTTTTATACTTTATTTAATTATAAAATTTATATTAACAAAATACTTATTGATTATCTATATATATAAATTTATTTATTTATTTATTTAATGTATTAATTATTAATTTGATCATTTATTACTATAGATAATCTTGACATTTATAAAAAATTTATTATACATCATAACTACTTTTTATTGTTTTTGGTGAATTAGTCATTCATTAGCTCTATAATAATTTCAATCGAGTAGAGATTGAGATAAACTCATTCTAACTTGTTCCATGGACAAAAGACCATCTGAATTGTGAATTCCATGCCGATATTAGACAATGAAAACACAATATTGATGCAAACAATTTTTTCTCCAAAATTTTTGATGATATTGATCTTGTATTTTTGAAATTTTTTCCTTCAATCTTTCAGCACACCTATAATTTTATAGAACATGTAGTATCCTAGTTAATGATAACTTTGGGTAGAACTAAAGGATTATCCGATCCTTTGTTCAATTACTTTAATTAGATTGATTAATACTAAAGCAAATACCATCTTGGCATCTCGTGTTTTATGCTTATATACACATAATATTCTTTTATGCTTTATTTTATTTATTTAAGAAAAGGTGTAAAAAAAAGGAATGAATATAAGAAGACTTCTGGTGATTACTTAATTTAATTCAATTTATATCTTAAGACTTAAAAGAAATTATTATGTGGTCACGAATCACATAATCTCACCCACTTAAATTTAGACATATGTAAACAATATATACATATTGCTTATTTATTGGTTGAGACTACAGTTGTTTCCTATTCTACAATTATTTGTTTTAAACTTGTTTTGTTGCAGAGTACTCAAACGTAAACAAACCTTTGAGAATTAACCCAACCTCTTTTCTAGTACTATATAGCATTCTTTATTTTGTAAATGTCATTCCTTGAAAATTTAAAATAAAAAAGAAGAAGGATGCCTTTGATGCATACTAATAGCAGAGCTGTTCGTTAGATGAGATTAATTCAGTATATTAGTTAGTTTTAATTTAATTAATTTTACTTCAATTTCAGATTCAGTGAATCTTATCATTACAACGCAAATCAATCAAAACAATCGATCAACTTTTTTTATGTATACTTTGCAATCTTATATTTTAGATTATGGTACTTACACCATTCATTTATATATATATATATATATATATATATATATATATATAAGTGGACAGTGGGTATAAACATTAAATTTAAACTCTTAATTTTGATCTAATAATTATTATTAATGTCTCACACTTCTCATAATAACAAATTTTTCTCATTTTATTTTTATTTGTTCATTAACTGATTTTTATCTAGTGTTATTAAATAAATTTAATTATATTTACTCTCAACTTTTTATCACATCTTAAATTAAGAAGATAACGAAATATATACAATTATATTAATTAAAAATAATGTAAATATTTGACATTAATTTGATTATAATTGAGAAAGAATAAATATTTTTTTAAGTGTGTATGTAGTAATATAAAATTCAAATTATATAACGTGAGGATAAAAGCTTCAAAATCTAGAATTTTTCAACTTAATTTAATTCAAATTGACTAAAACAAAACCTTTGTAAAATCGAACCAGACCAATTTGCATAAATATTGTTGGTTTACATCAGGGATGACCTAAGGCCCAGGCGAGTAAGGCAAGGGTTTAGACTCCCAATTTTTTTTAAAAATTTTAATATACCTTTAAAAATTAAAAAAATTAATTTAAAAATAGTTTATAATTTAAATGTTTAATTTAATTATTAAATTTTTATTAATATTACAAATAATATTTAATTAACTATAATTTTTAACTAATAATAATAAATTATTTTATTAAAAACCTCATTTTTAAATTTATTTTAGGCTCCGCTACTGATTTACATTTTATTTTACCTTGAGCCCCCATTTAAATTAACCTACGAACACTCTTAACTGGTAGATAACACAAATGACATATTAAAAAAGGTTGGGTTACAATATAATTTCCTTTGGGTTGTTAGCTGTTCAGATGCACGAAATTAAAATTTAAGTACAATTCACCAATTGATATGTAGCATAGTTTATTGTCAACTCTTTATGTTAGATGCATTATTTGTTTTGTACGCAATAAAGCTGATAAAATAAAATGGTAGAGGTTATTTATCTTTTTATCGTATTGTGCATATAATAAATTGTTTCTTAATTTAGTGAGAATTTATTTTAGGGTTTTATACGGTCATTTGAACTGTCTAGACTATTTTAAAGAGTGTCATACTAACTGTCTTTTAAAAATCAATTAAACTACAATTTTTTTAATACAGTATTGTCCTGTAAATTTTAACTAAAGATCTTGTTAACCAATTGGTGTTTTTTTTTTAAAATAAAAAATAAAAAATATTTATTCAACAATTATGATAAGAGTATATTAATAATATTTTGAATAAAAAATTATTTTAAATTAATATCTCAAAGATACTGGTTAATATTTATCTCTAACAATCAAGTAACCAGGAAAACAACATAGCTCATTGGACTTTTATCATACACTAAGATTTGACATTTGACTTAATAAAGGACTGCAAACCCACAATACATTTGACATTTCGTCCCAGGGAGGAGAATAATTAACAGAAAAATCTCAACATTAATTGGACTTTTGTTAACATGAGATATCAAAGTCAAGTGTTGTCTTTAGAAAACGAATTTCCATAATAATAATAACAACATGAAAGATTGCTTTTGAGATAAAACAGCATGAAAGATTATGTGATAAACCAGAAGAGATTGCTTTTCCCAATTAGTCTCCAGAATTATTGGCCTGAAAATGGCATATTTTCTTTTCTTTTTAATTATATTATTCATATGACCCATTTTTATAGTATTTTCTATAACACTATCTTCTGTATTTATATTTATCTTTCTCCATCACATTAGACATTTTATCTCATAATTCTTTCTTTTTATTTATGTTTTTGTTATACAAATACAATTTCTCTTTTCTTCTCCTCATCTGTTATTTCCAATTACAATTTTTCAAGTCTTTATCTTTCGTAGTAGATCCAGAATTTTTCGAAACTCAAGACCCTTCTCAAACGAGAGTACCTGTTAATAATCAGGAAAAGTCATGCCCACTTGCATGCAAGCTCTGTATTTTCTTATTTTGACACATTAAACAAAAGAACCTAGCTGAATTTATCATTAGGGGAATCTAAACATTAGCATTAAACGACAAACCGAACCGAGATTCTGAGCCCACCAATTTAGCTGTGATTTGGGGTACATGTTTTTGTATCCGGTGAATCATTTGTTATATTTCCATGTTCTTGGTTTCACCTTTACATATCTTGAAAATGAAACATAACTCTGACACAACATGAACATGTCTTCATCAATACCATTTTAAAGTTTTGTAACCAGTTCTTTTTTAACAAAGAAATATTAAATATATTCTATTCAATACTTTAAATTATTATAAATTAAATTTTTTATAATTTTAATATAATGAGTATTTTTATTTTTAATAATTTTTTAAAAAACTTGTTAAGATGTAACTTTACACACTGGTAAGAGAAAATAAATACCTTACTCGCCACATAGCCAATGCCGTGGGGTAGGTATATGAAGTACAAACAGATACGAGGATAGATACGCAGTAAACAAATTTTTTTTTCTGTGTCTGTTGTATTAATTACTATTAAATTATTGTTTCTCAAATTTTTTTAAAAATTTAGAATTGATTAAACAAATAGTTAATTGCACTTTAAATAAATTATTTAATTTTTGATTGTTAAAAAGACTACAATTCAATTCAGTTAATAAAAAGTATTTATAAATAAGTGGAATTTACAATAGTTGCAATGAATTGATTTGTAATAGACCAAAAGGGGGTTGAGGAACTGGAGGAGCAATAGTCAACTTCGGCAAAGAGACACCGCATATTCATCCCTCACGACCCACATTACTCATAATTATCCCAAATCTTTGTGGTGCCAAATATTGCATTTTTTTTGCCCCTTTCAACTGGTAGGAAATGAAAAGCTCTTCACCCAATTGCCAACTTGAAGTTTGAAAAGGAATCAATTCCATAGTCTCCAAAACGGAGAAGATTCTCACAAACGGAAAATTTGCATGAACTGGGAACGATCAAGACATGAATTCTCTGGTTGAAATTATGATGAAGTTGATCAACCCAAAAAGTGAGAGCCAAATTCAG